CAGTTGCAGCGCGCATCAGGTTTGCCGGTGCGATCATGCATTTCTGTAGATTTCGTGCTGAAGCGAAATCGCCTGAATTCGCATACATTATCATATTCTCAGAAAATTTCAACTTCATAGCTCAACCGGCTCCCAAACTCGCATCCTCCCCATTCCCCTCTCCTCCCCTGCCATCGTCTCCCACCACCCCACCGAAAAAAATAATTAGGCATGTTAGCATGCGTAATACAGGTGTACGCGAATGCTCATTTTTACGTCTACGGACTTGCATGGAGAAAACAAATTTTCTCGTACAATCAGAGAACTCTACTTAAGCAAGTTCCTCGACTGACACTGTCAGCTGTCATGAAGTTACAAATTCGGGGTGCTGTACACATGAAATACGCGTGCGTCCAAGCTTAACTTAAAGTCCTTAGCTCACACAAAGGCACAGAGTACCCTTGTGAAATTTTACTTTCCTATTTTGCCTGGTACCGAAGTGCTTTCCCCGCCATAAAATTCGCATAGGTTTTTGAAGCTTTCGTACGTGAAATCCAGCAGTTCGTAAACGATGATTTTAACCCAGTCTCGAGCGCACCAGGCTTGTCAATGCGATCGTGCGTTTTTGCACCAAACTTGAATCAATCGGTTTGTTAACTGCATGATTGGTTGTTGCTTTAACTTGTGCGATCACTAGCGCAAATCATCGAAGAAATTGCATAAAGGAAAATGAACAATTTCTTTAGCGGTCGTTCCTAGAAAATGACCTAGCTGCTCTGTGCGAATTTTTTCCGTCAAAACTTTTAATTGCCCGTATGTGAGGAGGCTGAATTCGAAATCTTCAAGCTGTACATGGATGGGAAATATCCTCTTAAAATTTCAGTCCTCCAGCTTTTCTGGCTATATGAGTTAACAATTTTCCCGCCAAAACTTTACATACTGGTGCGTAAGAACCACGAACACCTAGGAGCTGAACTTGACATCTTTAGCTTACACATATGCAGAAATTACCCCTGCAAAGTTTCAGTTCTTTATCTTGTAGCGAAGATTTTAAAACGGGAGGATGACACACGGGTTGGGAATATATACCCAAAATTTTGGCCCCAGCTTTCCTGGCTGTTGAGTTGTAAGTGGGTGAGGAAGTTCACTCGCTTCCGAACGTACACACACAGACACACACAGACGATCTCTCGACAATATGCTTTTTGTTTAGTTCCCGAGATTGGTTTCCCACCAAAAATTTGCATATTTTTTGAGGTATCCGCGCGTGAAATCCTAGCGTACGCGGATGATAATATTAAAACGGGAAGGTAGCACAGCTGGTGGGCACATACTCCCGAGGTTTCAGCTTTCTGACTTTTCTGGTTCTCACGTTGAAATTGGGTGACAAAAGATGCGAACACACAAATACACAGTAAGCCTCTTGCCAATGTGCGTTTTTGCATTTACATATGTGCAAAAACGCATAAAAATGGAGCATCTCACATGGAGCCAGGAGATGCCGCAGAAATTTTAGTTCCCCAGCTTCACCGGTTGCTGAGTTGAAAGTGGGTGACAGAAGTGCGAACACACACACACACACACAAGCACGTGTCGGCAACCTCTCATGAATATGAATTTGCATCTGCAGAAATGTGCAAAAATACATAAAAATTATGAAAATATTTGCAAAAAACCAAATTAGAGGTCATTCCAAACGCCTCAGATTACGTACCGCATATGCCAGTAAACTGACATCCTTGACAAGATGGTCCGTCAAAGCATAAAAATGTGATACAACGAATACATGTGGGCAATCGTCTTTTCCCTTTCGAATCCAGTAATTCAACGATGCTTTCAACAGCGAAAATCCTGATTCCTTGAATATTTA